TTGATCCCATACGTAATTAATAATATGTCATGAAGATGTATGTGGGAGTGGAAGTTTAGCTCCACTACTGTTGACCTCGGCACTCGGTGGAGGTAAGTGGGTCAGCTTCACGTCCCCGCTGCTTTATCCCCGGGGAAGTCGCACCCGTTACCTATTGGATAGGAGGCTGAGTGGACCCCAGAGCCGGTCTGGACGCTATGAAAAAGCGGTTAAATCCACCCCTTCCTGCAATCGAACCCCGGCCGTCCAGCCCATAGCCCGTCACTATACCGACTGAGCTATTCCGAGACGGTAGAACTGAAAAATTCTTGAGATATGCGGTGGAAAGGCTCCGACTAGATTCATTTGATCAGGGTATGGGCCAGTGATGGACCCTTGTGAAGACTGTCATGAACATTCAGGTTTCTTGACCGAATGATTACAGGACTCATCTCCACGGAGTTTGTCTTACCTGAGTGAGACTCTATCGCTGTAACGGAAGTGCGCAGATTGAGGATGTTTAATAAAAAATGACTGACGGAATGTTTGATCCTCGGAGAGAGAACTGACGATCAGAGTGGCCGCGCGTTGTAAGGCATGAACCGTCTTCGCCTGCTCGAACGCTGGGATCGTGGGTTCGAATCCCACTCAAGGCACAGATGTCTGGGTGTACGGTTTTTCTGTGTTTGTGTTGTCCTGTATGTAGGTAGTGGCCTTGCGACGGGCTGATCCCCCGTCAAACGAGTGATGCCGACGGTGTATAGGATGAAGAAACTCAAAAAGCGGCAAGGTTCAACAGAGCCATGGAGAGTTAAGTTTCAGGAGAATGAAGGAAATTACAGAAAGAGGAGCTTCATCAGATATCATTGTGGTGATCAAACGAAGGAGGACGAGGTGAACAGAACATTCAGCACGTATGCGGATAGTTAGGACGAGCCCAACAGGTAGGCCTACGCGCAGATGAAAGAAGATTGAAACTTATCTTAGAAAATTAGCGTGGGAGAGTGACAGGCCTGTGTGAAACTTTGAGTTCCATAAAAGCAGTCGCGGGTTCAAGTCCCAATGAGGTCATTGGATTTTTTTCAATTGACCTAATCCTTCCGGCCGCACTATGGCCCTGGGGTTCACTCAGCCTCTAACAGAAATGAGTACTAGGAATTAATTAAATAATTTTCCTGGGTTGTAAAGCGCGGCCGGCGCATAAGCCTGACAATCTTACCGCCATCTTTGAGCCGATTGTCTAGAATATGTGGGAAGCTCAACGTCTCACAACCCTATGGGCCTTCACGGCCTGTTACAGGGAGGAGCTTTACTTTTTTACTTTTTTTTTTAAAGCAAGGAATATCTCGACCAACTGAATAAGAACTTCGCAAGGAAGTCAGTGAGGTACGGAGTGTTCAGATGTTCAGGTTTGTCTTCACTGCAAAGGACGTGGAAGGGACAAAAGTTTACTGCCGACTTCCGGTGCAGTTCACTTCTACACTGAAACTTACCGATTTAGACCCGGTTCCACTAACACGATAGATGCATTCTTGAAGAATTCTCTGTAAAAGGCAGTAATGTCAGTCGACACGAAATTCCCATAAGGAGCAATGTAATGCAGTTGCAGAGACGTGGAGAAATAGTGTTAAACCGATACACTTGTCGTGTTAGTCGGAAAAAAAAGAACTTTAAAAACCATTTTAAACCGAATTCATGTTACTTATTAATTGGCCGCGTCATAGCTCAAGCGGTTAGTCGTTGGCTTTCCATCGCGGCGGCCCGGGTTCGATCTCGGGTCTGGTCAAGTGGGATTTGTCATGGACAAAGTGGCGCTGGGGCAGGTTTTCTCCGAGTACTTCGGGTTCCCTTGCCAATCTTCATTCCACCAATTGCTCCACAATCACCCTCACCTATCATCTGAGGCTGGTACAATAGGCCAGAAGTGGCCCCAGTACAAGGGACTTAGTCCCACCCCACTAGGAAAAAAAACAACTAATAATTGGCTGTAAGATTCACTTGACCCCTCAGTACAAATCTGCGTTAGTGTAAACCTGGACATTGGTTCATAACCGGGGCTGGCGAGAAGTTATTGTGTTACAAGTATAAACATTTCAAATTTCTATTTTACTAAAAATGACAGAACCTCCTTCACGTATTGTGGGTGCATGTGTACCCAGTCACCTCAAGTACAGCTTCTCAGCCAGTTCGCATAGTTGTTATACTCAATAGAGAATGCAACTGAAATGTGCACGAGTTCCATATACCAAAAAAGAAGAAAAAACGTCCATATCAACAAGTGTCTGGAAACATTTAATTTGTGAGTCACGCCTGAAAGAATACTGAGTAGACACCCGCAGCAGTTCAGCATTAATGTGTGGGCAGGGATTGTTGGTGTTTGGTAAGCCTGCAAGTTTTGCCACATCGGCTTACACGTAACCACTACCGACACGACGTGTCATATCTACCGGAAGATGCACCAGTTGCATGCCGTACGTGCATGATGGTGCTCCGCCACAGTGCTGCTCCAGGTGTTTCAATAAAACCTATCATGACCGATGAACAGGCAGAGGAGGACCCACTGCATGGCCTCCACGCTCCGCGCCAGTTGTGAATCCTCTGGATTTTTACCCGTGGGAACACCGAAGACTCCCTGTGTTGACAACGAAGAGGCACTTCTCCGTCGCATTGTGGATGTCTGTCAGAGTATCTGTCATTACTCCGGCATCTTTGAACGGATGTGGCGGTTCATGGTGAAGCGTGTCGAGGCGTGCATTGGATCTCACAGAGGACATTCTGAACGCTCATTACAAATGTTCTCTTTCAACTATAACTCACAATTTAAATGTTTCCGGACATATGTTGATATGGACATTTTTCTTGTTTTTTTTTGTTATGTGGAACTCGTGCCCAAAATTTCTCCTTACCTGATCTTCCTTTCTGTAAGTACTGGATGCAGCGGGAACAAGCTTATTACACTGCAGGGCGCATTCTGCGTTACACTACGTAGCGGCCACTTGTGAACATGTCATCAGAATCCTCATGTGCCATCTGTGACTATTTCTTGCACACCAACTTATCCAATGCTTCCGCTGTGGCGTGGAGTAGGGGCAGTGCGTCTGTTTAAATTCGCTGGTACTGGGATAACTCAGATGGTATAGCAACTCGGTTACGGGGCAAATGACCGGGGTTCGATCTCCGGCAGGGGCAAGAGAATTTTTCCTGTTTTCTGCAGCCGCCAGATCGGCTGTGGGGCCCATCCAGCCTCCTGTACAATTAGTACCTGAATAGTATCCCCGAGGTAAAGCGGCAGGAGAGTGAAGCTGACCACTCACCTCCGCCTAGTACTGAGGTTAAAAATTTTCGAGCTGTACGTCCACTCCTCCATATACCTTCATGGCATGGTTCTTAATTATGTAATTAAGATCAAGGCTAAGTTTAACTGTACATATTCGTTCACGGGCCGATCACAGTGGCCGCGCGGTCTAAGGAATGAACTATCTTCGCTCGCTGGAATGCTGGAATCGTGGGTTCGAATCCCACTCAAGGCATGGATGACTATTATGTGCATTTATTCTGTGTTTGTGTTGGTATGCGTGTAGGTAGCGGCCTTGCGACGGGCTGAGCCCCGTCCAAGGAGTCCTACCGACTGTGCATAGGATCAACAAACTGAAAGAGCTGCCAAGGCCCAAGAAAGGTTGTAGAGTCATAATAAATAAAAAAGAAATGTTCTTTCACGGAGCTGCCTTGAGTAGTGCTGGATTCATTGCAGTAAAGCAGAATGCGTATTTACAAACTTATCAAATAACCTCGAGTGTACACCAATAACATAGCTCAGGATTCTTCGTGGGCAGCTGACAGTATCTGTGTTGGTTAAGGAATTTCGTGCCTTTAATGGAACCCGAAGGTTCATCGATTTCACTAGAGGACGCAAGTGGACCCAACGCTGAGGTCGCTTTAAACCATTGCACACCTTCACACACATCCGTCTTAATGTTATCCTCAAATCTATCTTGGTTTCCAAAGTGGTTTTGCAACCAAAATCCATTCCCGTCTCAACTACGAGTATATCATGCTTTATGCTCTGCCAGTACGTATCACCGCCAACGCAGAGCAGCTGAAAGCTGATTTTGTCTTGACACTTGGGCGCTTCTTCAAATTCGTTTCCATTTCATTTTTCATTTGTTTTACCATTCGAGGCTACGTAACGTGTGTAGTTGAAAGAACGTCTTTAAATAAAACCATGAAACACCGAATCGACAATTAGTCGCCATGTTTCCACTAAAAGGAATCTGCTATTTCCGTTAAGGACTCGCATTAGTGCGCGGGAGTTAATTAGAAGACTACAAAAGATAAAATCGCTCCTGTGCTTAATAAATCTAAGCATCCCCCCCCCAAGAAGACGTATTGGAGGAGTGGATGTGTACCTCCACTATTGTTAACCGCAGCAGTAGATAAGAGTTGAGTGGTGAGATTCATGCCCCGTCTGCTTTTTTCTTTCACTGACACTACAGCCCGCTTGGGCCCTGGGCTCTGATTTTCAGTTTCATGATCATTTTACAGACAGTAGGGCTCCTTGGACGAGTGATCAGCTCGTCGCTACACAGAGGACAACACTGGCCCCCGTCTACTTTACCCCGGGGAAAGAAGCCGTTGGTACCCATTGGATAGGAGGCTGGGTGGGCCCCAGTGTCGGCCCTGGACACTGGAGAAGAAAAGAACCCTTTCCCCTGCCGTGAATCAAAATCCGAATCCTCGGTCGGCCTCGTAGACGGTCACTGTATCGACCGAGTTAAGAAATGAAACTTATTTAAACGTAGATCTGTGTTCATCGCTTTTCGTGTTATGAATTAAATCCATTTCGCGTTCCTCTGCACCCAAAATATTATGTACACGGCCTTGGTAGTTTTCCCGTAATGATTAGTGCAGGGGCCTGCAGTTTTATTATTTATGGATTTATGTGGGAGGCTGTGTTGCAAGAGGCCGTGTAGCCACAGCCTCTCTCACGACCCCTCTAATACGTTGTTTGGCTTTATTCCCAGGTAAGCAGCGCCACAAGACAGCCTTGCTACGCGGCTCTGTTGAGAGAACAATAAACACGGCAAGGAGAAGGGAGAACAGACCCGTGAGCTGAAGGCCGAGAGAATATTATGTCCAGTTTGGAAATTAATAGAACCAAAACGATAACAAGAAGAAATATAATACAACAGAAATATACACGGAAAAGCGAGGAGTATGGTTTGGGGTCCATCGTGGTCGTCAGCGTCGCTGGGGGAGGTGAAGATGAAGAACATGGCTACGGGTTCTATACCGCATGTTGATCAAGGGAAACATTATCGGCTGCTACGCACAGAACTGATTCAGCTGCTGCTGGCACCGTCCTCACATCATGGCCTGTTACCAAAGGCAGCCATATACGACAGTGTCTCATATACTTGGCATGAAGTTCATCGGGGCGACTCGCATGTGTCCGTGTGATCGTTTCGTGCAGAAGTAAACAAGTAGGACGATCAAAGGGCTTGCACGTGTGAGCTCTGGCTTGAAGAGGCAGTGAAATAGCAGTTCTTCTTCATTACGATCTGAATGGAGTCTGTTAATAGGCGGCCTTCATCCTGACATCAACTAAATGGTCGATATATATTGATATACTAAAGGACGCTCGAGGAATGTTATATTTGAGCCTGAGTTTCAAGTAAGAGGATGTGAAATAACGGTGTGCAACTCTGTGTTATATAAACATCCTTAGTTTACCGAAGGAAGCGCACGAAACATTATGTTATTTCTGAGCATTGATTTCAGTTTGGTACCGAAAAAGAAGACGCGCAAGAATGGCGGTGTAAATATGCGTGTTGTTACGTGCACGTTAGTGCTTCTTGTGTGGGGTGTGCCGATGTCCCGGGTGGAAGGGACGGTCACGATAACAAGGTCAAATCCGTCGGCTGGAAGCAACGTTACCACGCAAATGACATCAGGTCGGATATGTGTAAGTGTCGATATCCGAAATTCCGTTAGAGAATTTGAACAGCTTCGGGGTTGTACGGTAGTCGAAGGTTTTGTTCGGATAGTTTTAATTGATCGTGCAAATGAATCGGATTTCGAGAATGTGAGTTTCCCAGAATTACGTGAAATCACCTGCTACCTAATGCTTTATCGTGTCAGAGGACTGAGAAATATTGGGCTTCTGTTTCCCAACCTGGCGGTAATCCGAGGCAATAGCCTGTTTCAAGATTACGCACTGGTGATTTATGAGATGCTACAGCTGCAAGAAATTGGTCTGTGGGGACTTACGGCCATATTGCGAGGCTCCGTCAGGATTGAGAAGAATTACGCGCTGTGTTACTACAACACGGTGGACTGGGACGCTATTACCAACGGCGGCGAGCACTTCATAGCGTTCAACAAGGACGCGTCTTCATGCCCAAGTCAGGGGGTTTGTGACGTGGGAGAAGGATGTAACAAGAGTATGTGTTGGGGCAGCCAGGTTCACAACTGTCACCGCGGGCGCCCGCAGAGCGAATGCCATGAACTGTGCCTGGGAGGCTGCACCGGGCCCCGGGCAGACCAGTGCTACGTGTGTCGAGAAGTGCTGAATGATGGGGAGTGCGTCAGCAAGTGCCCTCCGGACAGGTAAGCGTTAACGTACGTAATTTGCATATGATGTGCACGAAGCCAACACGCGAGCCCTGTAGGGTAGGCGTGGCTACCCGTCATTCCAACTCAGAAATTCATGAATCGTTCTGCATTGCGGGGTTTACACTACAAGGTGCCCAGCGAATTCAGGTTTGGCTTGTATTTGTGGCTCATTCAACGAAAACGGAAGTATCCCAGAGCGTCGAGTAAAGCCATGCCAGGCTTAATTAGTTCAGCACTGTGCCATAAAGACATATGAGGGAGTGGAGGTATAGCTCCACCTTTCTTGATCTCGGCACTAGGAGGTGTTTGGTGAACTTCACTCCCCTGCCGCTTTACCCCGGGGAAAGAGTCCCCGGAATTCATAGTCTAGGAGGCTGAGTGCGCCCTACAGTCGGTCTGCACACTGTGGAGAAAAAGAAAAAAATCTTACACTGCCGGGGTGGCCAGAGTGTAGTCTGTCGCTATACGGACAGAGCTGTCGCGTCTCCTCCGCAGCGTTAATCAGGATAGCCCTGTGCTGCCCGAGATTTCTATGAGTCACCTCCCGAATACAAGCCAGAAAAGTTACCGCTTGCACCAACTTGATAATATTGTTCGTACTGCGAATATGACCATTACGTTACACGAAACTTAAATGCGAACATTAGTGATTGCTTTCACTGAAATGTTTTGCCGTGCAAGGAGAAAGACAACGCTAACAAAATACAAGTTTGACACTTCGGGCAGTGCAGCTGCAATGAGGTCGGTTGTTCTGGTGGCAAAGGCGCGTGCACTTGAGGACATGCGCACTGCCGCAGCGTCCCCGCAGCGCAATGAATTGGGAGCAGCCGGCTGCATTGGTCCTGTTAATGGCCTTGAAGTTAACACCGCCGGCTCGAGTCCCGCAAAACTGAGCATAGATTTACTGCGCACGTCTGCAATGTTGATTTTATTATCGTAATTCGGTTTTAAATTAACTATATGTAGATATTCTCTAAATTCCATGGGATCATAGACCTGGATTCGATAACGCCACTTGTGTTGAATAAGTTAAAACAACTTTTTAATTCCCGCCAATTATACGAGCTGTTAACTGTGCTGTTTTTACCAATTCTAAGGGGTTCTGACGTGACTGGGATTAGTGAGGCCTTAGATTTTCTCCGTCGTCTGACAAAAACAGTTTCGAAAACTGGATATTTGCTTCCACAGGTGAATGGGGCGGGGCTGTGTTGGGTTCGTCAGAAAGAGGAACTTCAGTCACACAGAGAGAGAGGGTGAGTGGTGGAAAGTATAGCAAAAGAGCAGGTGAAAGTGGAAGAAACATGGGAATAGTGAGACACTTTATTGTGGAGGGTGGGGGGAGAAAGAGCATAATTTTGTTAGGTTTCCAAGATTCGCCCGCTCTTCCTTCTGGTAGGGGCAATGTGAAAGTGAAGACGTTATGAAGGCTAGAAGGCGGAATTTTGATTTTGTGAGCTGATGCCGAACTGTAGAATTTGAGAGAAAAAAGTTATTTTGGTGACCTCGACACCATTGGGACTTAATTGTTATGGATTTAAATCGGAAGGGTTGTGTGATATGCACACGATAGCAACTTGGAATATGGGAACCATCCCAGCATTTGCTTAAACAGAGGAAAACCAAGAAAACCTGTGTCGAGAAGACCTATCGCAGGACCAGCCGGATGGACGCTGACTTCTAGGCAGCAGTGCAACAAACACAAATAAATTATTGGACACTTAAGTCAGTATAAATACACCTATATTCACCTCAGATCAAGTTTCGTCAAAAGTGATTACAGAAAATATACAATAAAAATTGTGCAAATGTACATGAAAACCTAACACTAACACACTAGTATCTAACACTGAGGCAGAGAAGTGTACAATAAATGGATGCAACAAAATGCAAACGCACCCATACAGTATGAAATTGAAACTTTCTTGTTATGGGATGCCCTCCTGCCGCTAGCGCCGTTTGCGGAAATAAAAACTGAACTCCGAAACGAAAGTCGTATGATAGCCATGAAGATTCTGTCAGATCACATCGACCCTCCGCATAAGTTGCATACCCCCATACTGCCGAGGGGGGGGGGGTTCAAAATTGGGTTGGCTAATCTGATTAGTTAAATACGCAGTATGGGCCGATTCCTTGTATTTCTACACCTAGTAAAGGGAGGTGTCAGTTGTTGTACCAGATCACAAAAAGGCCACTAAATCGGACTGTAGTAATTATAAGGGCTATCACTGCTGTCAACTTCATACAAAATTCTGCCCAATATCCGATTCTCGAAGTTAAGTCGATACGTATATGAACTTGTTAGTGCTCATCAGTGTGGGTTTAGACGTAACATATCGACTATTTACATTCTTCAGACATTGAAGAAAAAATGGGAGTACGATGAGACAGTACCTCAGCTATTCGTAGACTTCAAGAAAGCCTATGATTCAGTTAGGAGGGAAGTATTGTACAATATTCTGATAAAGTTTGGGATACCCATGAAACTAGTTAGGTTGATTAAAATGTGTTTAAACGAAACGTGTAGTAAAGTACGTATAGGTAAACATTTGATAAGTCCTTTCTTCAAAATTATCTAAAACGAGATGCCTCAACACCATTTCTTTTCAGTTTTGCTTTAGAATACGCCATTAAAAGATCCAGGAAAGCCAGGTGGGACCCGAAATTAAAAGGGGCACACTAATCTTTATGTGTTGCATTCTCTTGCGTATATTGCATTCCTCTACAAAACAATTTCTTATAGAAGTATACAGATATAGATCATTTACATTAAAATATTAAAACCTTAAGAACACAACATGTTTCGACCCATATTGCGTCATCGTCAGGTGTATTGTTTCTGCTTAGGTGCTGAGCTTGTTTTTTTTTAATATGGATCCATATTTTGGATATGACTGTGTAACATGTAACATTATGCTTGGTAACAAAATTCTTGGTATTATCTACTTTCTAGTCCAGTTATGTTGGTATTAGATATAATTAGTTAAATTAACGTGTATCTGGTTGAATGTTAAGGTCGAAATTAAGATTAAAAATATATATATATATTAGTTATTTGACGGGTATACCGGTCGCTCTGGTCTGGTTACTTCCTGTGTTGGTATGAAATGAACTCTTGTACACTTGCGTTATCTGCCAGCTCCTACAGAGTCCAAACGACCACCTGCAAGACGACACTGGAATTCCCCATATGATAACAATGTCTCGACGGTAGTGCCACTGCACCCAACTTATGGGAGGTAACGCGTGTGCACATACAAGAGTTCATAACATCATACCCACCTAGGAAGGAACCTGACCAGAGCTACCAGCATGCCAGCGAAATAACCAGCAGATATATACATATTGTCACGTGTTGGGTGTATAACGCGACAAATAATTTCACGCCGTATTTGATGTAGCGAATTTTATTTCACATTCGCTCTTACAGTCACACGGATTACAAGCTCAACATTACTGCAATTGGCAGTATCACAAATACTGTGCTGCAATTAACTGGTGACTGACTCGTATCTAGAGAACTCGAGAACTAACTGTGAATAGTCTTCGCTGCCCCTTAATTAGCCTCGTTCTGGACAACACAGAAAACAGCCACGTAATAGGCACCACTGTTGTCTGGCGCCGTGTTGCTATCAACGCTTTCGGG